GGCCTGCACTGTATGCCCACGGGGCCAGGCCTCTCACACCGGGGTCGGAGGATCGCGCCGCATCGCCGATGCATCGGCGTTGGTGGAATCGGCGTTGGCGTCGGCGAGGGCGTTGTCGTCGTCGTCATGCAACAGTCACCGTGAGGAGATATCTATGAAAAACTCGATCTAGACAAAGGTCGCCCTCCACCCATGGCGCTGCTGGATGTTCAAAGCTTCAGACTGAAGCTGCAGTCTCAATCCAGAACCAGGTTTTGAAGCCCAACCGCCTTACATGGTTGCAGCGACTGTGACGTTTCAGGATCCAGGGCCACACATGTCGAGGATGTCTCGAATGATGACGAATCTTAAATACGACTCCCCCCTCATCGGGGACGATTTGTCTCATGATCGCACATTCGGAGCATGTCCCAGGCGACAGACAGAACTTGAAACAGACCCACTCCATCTGCGGAGCTAGCTCGGACCGCTCGTCCGTCACTTCTAGCGGCGCGACGATAAGAAGGGGGAGTCAGTTTCAGAAAGTGTGCTGGAGGAAGAGAGAGCAGGGGCATGAACAGAACTCCGACGGCCTCCTGGTCCGAGCAAGGGGAACATCTACGCGATGGAGGAGGATGGAGGAACCTGCACGTGCAAAACGCTGAAAGGAGGACTACTTTGGGCTTAGGAGGGGCTCGTGGTTTAGGGCTGCTCCTTAGATCTAGGTCGTGGAACGTGTTCGTGGCCGAGGCTCGCCTTAGCCAGAACAGCCCCTCCGTTCCTTATTCAGCGTTCCTGACGGTAGCACGATGTCTGTATCTTGGCATCGCTCGGACGTGTGCATTTTTCCTTCGGCGAGGACACTTGAGGAGCATCCTTGATCATTTGGCGAAAAAAACGCGCACGAAGCCAAAAAAGCACAGGGAATGGACGTCCGAGCGATGGCGAGGTATAGAGCTCGCCCACGTGTGGGACTCCCGGGGTTCCGACGGACCCGCCCCGACCCCCCCTCGGAGGCTGGCCGGTTCTCCCCCTGCCGGGCTAGCAGCCGTGTCTGGCTCTGGCGCGCGTCCTCCCACCCCCCCGTTTTCCGTTCTTCTCTCGTCCCTCGGCCTCCTCCTCCTCCTCCTCCTCCTCCTCCTCCTCCTCCTCCTCCTCCTCCCTCATCGCTCCTCCTCCCCATCCTCGCTCCTTCTCGCTCTCCGCATGCCCCCTGCCCCGCCCATCCCCCTCGTCCCTTCCCCCCCGCTCCGGCTGGGGAGGAGATGGGGTAAAGAGGAGGGGTGGAGGATGGGAGGAGGGCAATGGGAAAGAGGATGGGGACGAGGGGAGGGAGGAGGGATGAGGGAGGAGGGGAGGGGGAAGGGGGGAGGAGGGGAGAGAGGGAAAGAAGGAGGAGGAGGAGGAGGAGGAGGAGGAGGAGGGGAGAGGTCAAGCTAGCCAGGTCGAGCGAGTCACAGGGCCCCGCCCATCCCCACCCCTCCCTCCCGCAGCACACGAGCCGAGTGTGGCACGGCCCGACGTTGGCATTGGAACGCGCTCCCGCCGCGCAGACAGAAAGCGCTCGCGCGCGGCTCCGCTTCCGACCTCTTGGCGAAGGGAAAGGCAAAAGGCCCCCTCCGTCTTCTTCACGTCTCCTTCTTCTCCTCCTCCTCCTCCTCCTCCTCCTCCTCCTCCTTCTCCTCCTCCCGCTCCGCAGCCTGGCGCCTCCCGCTCCGCAGCATGGGCCGCGTAGGGCCGAAGGGCAGCAAAATGTCCGATGGCCGCGGCGGAGACGAAGCATGCGCCGCGCTGACAAAGCATCGCCACCGTCACCCACAGGCTGCGCAGGTGTGGGCCAGGTCGGCATTTCGCCCGCTCCTGCGCGGCCCCGCTGCCGCTGTTCCCGTTTCATGCGCTTCTGCGAACGAGCCTGCCTTGCGCCGTGCGCCGCGCTTGCGCGGGACACCGCTTCCGAGCGGAGTGCGCACGGAGCTCGGGCGAGGGCGACAAATCGCCCCTGCGCGCGCACCCGCAGCAGAGCATGGCGAGTGGAACACGTGCGTCCCGCCAGGGCAGGAGCCCAACTTTCGAGCGAGATCTGCGTGGCGCCGAGGCGAGATCGACGCTTCCGTCCGATCGCGCGTCGGCGAAGCTGCGCGTGCAGGGCGTGCGATCCAAAAATTCTCTAGGATACCAGGGGAACAACAAATGGCATAAACATAAAAACTCGGAGGTCCGCGCGTATTTCTCGGATCGGCCCCAGCGCCGATCCGAGAAATCCGCGCGGACCTCCGGGTAGGGGTAGGGTTCGCATCTGGCCCCCTAAAGGCGGTTTCATGGAAAACTATCCCAGCGGGTGGTTTCCATGAAGGCGGCGTCAGGGGTTGCCCGGGGGCGCGCCTTTGGCGCGCGCGTCTGCGCGCGCGCGGTGCGGCGCGGTTCTGGAGTGGGATCGATGCGGAGCGCTGCGGCAGGCAGGAGAGGGAAGGAGAGGGAAGGAGGAGATGGAGGAGCTGGAGGATCCGGAGGAGGGAAGAGTGGGGAGGGGAGGGGAAGGGAGGGGAGAAGAGGAAGGGGAAGGAGGAGATGGAGAAGTTGGAGGATCAGGAGGGCTGTCGCAAGCCCCAGCACCGCCAAAAAGTATTCAGGATGAAATACCGGCCGCCGAGAAAAAAAAGGCATCGCATGTCTGGGGGAGGAGGAGGGAGAGGGAGAGGAGGGAGAGGAGGGAAGGGGTGAGGGAGGAGGGATGCGGCCTTCACCCCCTACCCTGAGGCCGACGTGGCGAAACAGTGCAACACCGCGAGCAGCTCACACTCCGAGCCTTGGGCCCCACCTCTCCGCGGCGACGTTCGAGCCGGATCGATCTGCGATGGCCCCCGGCGAAGACGCCCGCGCCGGAAGAAACTGCAGCGCCCAGATCTCGGGGCATGCCGCCCCTGGCCAGGCGGAGGGGACTGTGCGGGTGTACGCCGACCCAACTTGGGCCCACCCTTGGCTCGGGGCCCGTGCGTGTGTGCCTCCCGGGCCAGGCCACGAGGGCGTGTGCACCGATCTCTTGGGCGCAGGATGGGCCTGGCCGGGGGCGGTGCCATGCTCGGGAGGAGAAGCAACACACAGGAGCAGATGAGCGTCGACTCCCAGGAAAATAGGGGAACATACGGGGAGGGGGGGGGGGGAAGAAACCCAGAAACCATGGAAACACATGGGGAATCCTGGGCTCTGTGGGTAGTTGCGTGTGTGTGTAAGTGTGTGTGTGTGTGAGTGCGTGTGTGTGTAAATGTGTGTAAGTCTGTGTATATGTGTGTAAGTGTGTGTAAGTGTGTGTGTGTAAATGTGTGTAAGTGTGTGCAAGTGTGTGTGTGTGTGTAAGTGTGTGTGTGTAAGTGTGTATGAGTATATGTATAAGTATGTGTAAGTGTGCGTGTAACTGTGTAATTGTACATAAGTGTGTAAGTGTGTAAGTGTGTAAGTGTGTAAGTGTGTAAGTGTGTAAGTGTGTAAGTGTGTAAGTGTGTAAGTGTGTGTGTAAGTGTGTAAGTGTGTAAGTGTGTGCGTGTGTCTGTGTGTGTGTCTGTGTCTGTGTGTGTGTGTCTGTGTGTGTGTTTGTGTCCTGGGGCCCCTTCACGCGTGCATGCTTATCCTTCCTCTGCCTGGCACCCGCCCCCCTGGGCGCGCTGGGAGCCGCGACGGCCCCAGAGGGGTCTCGCGGGCGCCCGGCGCCGCCCCCAGGGGCGCGGCGCTCGGGCGTTGCGCAAGGGGCGGGGGTCGAAGAAGAAAGGTGCACCTCTTCCTCCTCCTTCTCCCCTCCTCTCCGGCCTACTGTTGTGTTGGATTTAGTAGCTTGGCCGTTTGGGCCACACAGTAGGGGTTATAACACAATTTCCGTGCCGCCGCCCGGCCGATACGTTTTTCAAAGGGGTTTCGTATCAGTCGTTGTGTGGAGTTACCGAGGGAGTTTTGCTGTCGTGTCTCCTCCTCTTCCTCCTCCTCCTCCCTTCGGGCACTAGTTTGCGGCCAGTATTCCGGCCACGTTCGCAGGACAGCCCTGCTGATTATGTGGAGGCTTCAAGAGTGTTACCCGAGTCCGGGCCCATTGCAGCTTTTTGCCTTCTGTGTGCTGTGGTCGTCTTTGGTCGGGTGCGTTGTCGGGATAGCCCCCATGAGGGGCAGCGGATCCCTCCTTCTCCTTCTCCCCTGCTTGTTTGCGTGGAAAAAAAGAAAGGTGCACCTCTTGCGCCCTAACTCCGAGGAGGAAACGGTGCCCACACCTGTACTGCCCTTCGCCCGTTCTCCTTTTTCGGGGCCTCCTCGGAGGCCCTCGTCGCCATCGTCGGATTCGCCTCCAGATTCTGGCCAGAGCGCACCTCAGGAGTAGCGGTGTCGGTACCGTTTGGTCTCCCCACTGACGGGTTCCTGGAAGGGCCCAAGAGGGGCACGACAGGTGTCTGATCCCCCCCCCATTGGTCGGCGCCCCCATGAAGCAACGCCCGCCTTCGCACCCATTGGTCTCCCCTGCCCCCCATGTACCGGCCCCCCATGAATCACCGAGCGCGCTCCAGTACCTGCAAAGTGCCCACTCGCAGAAGTCAGCAAAAGCGGGCGGTGTTAGATGCAAATGGGGCTTGGTCTGTTGCCTCGACGCAGTGGATCCATGCCACCTGCGGGTAGCTGCTCTGCGAGTCGTGGAACGCGCTGGTCTGATTGAGCAATGCCCGCCCTTCGCACCCTCCTCCCCCTGTCAGAAGCCGGGCGACGGCTGGCAAACCCGTGGCTGCCGAGATGCATCGGCGATGCGAGTCGCCGATGCATCGGCGATGTGGCGCGATGCTCCGACTGCATCCGCTCCGACGCCCCATCTGGGAGGCCTCTAGGTTCGGGGCGGGGCAGGCCCGGGCCGAGCTCCTCCTCCTCCTCCTCCCCTCCTCCTCCTCCTCCTCCTCCTCCTCCTCCTCCTCCTCCTCCTCTCCTCCTCCTCCTCCTCCTCCTCCCCCCCCTCCTCCTCCTCCTCCTCCTCCTCCTCCTCGTCCTCCTCCTCCTCCTCCTTCCCTCCGCCCAGCTTGCAACCTTGGGCGCGCCGGGCGCCGCGATGGCCGCAGAGGGTCCCGCGGGCGCCCCGCGCCGTCCCCCGAGAGCAGCGCGGGCGGCGCGCCGGCTCTGGCTGCCCCTCTCCGGGGGCGCCGCGCTGGTGGCCCCTCCCGGGGGGGGCCGCGGCGGCGGTGCCTGTCTGTATGTGGAGGGCCTTGGAGGACCCCAAGAGGGCTCCAGGGGTTAGTAAGCACAAAGCCTCGAATTATATACACTGCTGAGGCCCTACCTCTCGGACCCCTCCTTTGGCCCCCTTGGGGTCCTCTGGGGGCCCTCAGGGTTCCCCCATGACTCTCGGAAGGCCCCCACGTGGTTTCAAGAGGGCCTAGGAGGGCCCAAGGGGCGAAGATATCACAGCCTCGAGTCACGTACACCATTTAGGGGCCTCGGGCGCGGCCTTGCCAGCGGCCTAATTAGGTCGGTGTCCACTGCTTGGAAGTCGGGCCTGTCCCCCTACAGGGGGATGTTCGACAAAAAATGAAACATACCCCAAACATGCACCAAAAAGAAGAAAACATATTCACCACATGTTTCGTGGGGTTCTGGTTTTCTTCCCTGCCGCGGCGCACCCGCGTCTCCTCCTCACACCTCCCCTCATCCCTCTTCTTCCGCTCCTCACCCGCGCTCAACACATGCACGGCAAGTACATGACACACGCGTCTACATACAGCCGCACGCATGCACACATTCGCACACAACACACACACACCATACAACGCTAGTGCGCGCCTGGCGTGTTCACTGCATCGCACATCCACGACGCGTGCGCCACATAGTGGGCACCCACATGAGACACGTCCCGATATGGCCGCTATGCACGACGGTCGTCCAGGCATAGCACGCGTGGCACTTCCTCGACACCAGAGGGGGTGCGCTGGGGGTGGGGGCCCTGTGCGTTCCGGGCTCGCAAAGCGTGGCATGCATGGCATTTCCTCGACACCAGAGGGGGTGCGCTGGGGGTGGGGGCTCTATGCGTAACGGGCTCGCAAAGCGTGGCATGCGTGGCACTTCCTCGACACCAGAGGGGGTGCGCTGGGGGTGGGGGCCCTAAGCGCTTCGGGCTCGCAAAGTATGGCAGGCGTGGCACTTCCTCGACACCAGAAGGGGTGCGCCGGGGGTGGAGGCCATATGCGTTTCGGGCTCGCAAAGCGCGGCCGGCGTGGCACTTCCTCGGGGGTGCGCTGGGGGTGGGGGCCCTATGCGTTTCGGGCTCGCAAAGCGTGGCAGGCGTGGCACTTCCTCGACACCAGGGGGTGCGCTGGGGGGGGGGCCCTATGCGTTTCGGGCTCGCAAAGCGTGGCAGGCGTGGCACTTCCTCGACACCAGAGGGGGTGCGCTGGGGGTGGGGGCCCTATGCGTTTCGGGCTCGCAAAGCGTGGCAGGCGTGGCACTTCCTCGACACCAGAGGGGGTGCGCTGCTGGGGTGGGGGGGGCTCTATGCGTAACGGGTTCGCAAAGCGACACCTTCCTCACACAAGAGGGGGTGCGCTGGGGGTGGGGGCCCTATGCGTTTCGGGCTCGCAGCGCGTGGCAGGCGTGGCATTTCCTGGGCACCAGAGGGGGTGCGCTGGGGGTGGGGGCCCTATGCGTTTCGGGCTCGCAAATCGTGGCAGGCGTGGCACTTCCTCGACACCAGAGGGGGTGCGCTGGGGGTGGGGGACCTATGCGTTTCGGGCTCGCAATGCGTGACAGGCGCGGCACTTCCTCGACACCAGAGGGGGTGCGCTAGGGGTGGGGGCCCTAATGCGTTTCGGGCTCGCAAAGCATGGCGGGCGTGGCACTTCCTCGACACCAGAGGGGGTGCGCTGGGGGTGGGGGCCCTATGCGCTTCGGGCTTGCAAAGTGTGGCAGGCGTGGCACTTCCTCGACACCAGAGGGGGTGCGCTAGGGATGGGAGCTCGTATCTTGTCAAGACTGTAAACACCTTGGCTCCAGCCGGCTCGGCGCGCCTGCGCTCTCACGCAGGCGCGCTCTTGTAGTCCTACTTCAGAGCACCGCCCTTCCTGCACGCGGCAATCATGCCGCCTAAACTTGCCATGGGCGCTCTGCCGTCTCCTTGTCTGGCGATGAAAAACGCCATGGTTCTGACGGGCGGCGAAGCCAGTGTGGAGAGCTCGCGCCGATGCGCAAGCGGAGTGGTGCTTTCCGCATTCAACGCGTACCGCCGCCAGCTTCAGAATTGGTGGCCCGATGCGGATACGAGTACGATTGCGAGGTACGACGACGAGTACGATGACGAGTAAGACGATAGAACAGCAACGAACACGACGACGAGTACGACGAGCACGACGAGTACGACGACGAATGCGACAAGCGCGACGACGATTCGCGACGAGGGTTTAGAACGCAGGATTGCGCGTAGATGTATTGCAGGCAAACGCATAATATTCAAAATCAGTATGTGGGGTTCCTCGGTAGCGTAATTCAAATTGTCCCCAGATTATTTTTGTTATATTTTTGGTACTTCTTATTTTTCATCCGAAATCCCTTTGTAGGGGGACAGGCCCGACTTAAGGCTGGCGGCGAAGTGGGAGCGGTGCCGGCGGCCGTGTCTCGGGGTTGCATCTCGAGGCACCTCGCAAGCAAAGGCGGCGCAGATGGGACGCCAGGGGCGGGTCTGTGCCGCCGTTTATGTGTTGGTCACTTCCGTTCGGGTTGTGTCGCCCAGGTGTTCTGTCCGGGCAAAACAAGCCTAGTCGGCATCACGTAACCAGTCCCAATCCCTATCCCCATCCCCTTCGAGACTCCCACCAAGCTACCACCCCAGTTGGGGAGACACCCCTCGAAAGCCGAAGGGGGCGACCGACATCCCTTATGCAATGGGGTAAATCGGCCAGCGGGGCCCAGGCCACGACGCTGGGGATGGGGATCGGTTAAACGAAATTTATTGGGAGGGGACCTGGGATTCTTACCGAGTGCGTTCCACTAGTCGCAAGGTGCCTACTCGCGCACGTCCGAGAAAACCAAAAAAAACAAACGTTTTTGTTTAGGTAGTAGGTCGTGAAGTCTACGCGGCTGATGCAAGCCATTTGCGAGCGGTCACATTGCGACTCGTGCAACGCGTTTGTCTAGATGATTTGGGCCCCCTAGATAGGGTCGGAGTAGATGGGGTTGGAGGACCGCGCTGAATCGCCGATGCATCGGCGATGGGGCCCAATGTGGACCCCGATTTTTCCACGCCGACGGCGCCGACGTCGCCATTGCATCGCCAATGCATCGCCGATGCATCGCCGATGTCGCGGCGACCGCATCACTTTGACCACATTTAGGAGGTTTTTTAGATTCTGGGCCTGGACGGCGAAGTCGGCTTGCTTTTAGAAGAGAGCTATGTGGCCTTCCGCCCATCCCGCCACCGTGCGTGGGTCTTGGGTCATTGGCATCTAGGATGTTCGTTGGGATTTCGCGGAGGGGTCACTCGGGGGCCTCGTGGAGGCAGTTTGAAGCCTCTTGGGTGCCATTTGGGGCCTCTTGGGGCGTCTTGGGGGGGTTCCTGGGGTTTCCTTGGGGCCTCTTGGGGCCTCTTGGGCGCCTGGATTTTTTTTTCGAAGACCCATATGTGGGGCATACCGTTTTCGCTCTCTAAACACTTCGGGTGTCGCGGCGGAAGAACACCCCCGATGACGCCGTCGTCGTTTTTGTCGTCGTCGCCGTCGTCGGCATGGTCGCAGGCGCCGTCGTCCGCGCCGTTCGGGTGTTGCTAGAAGCGTCCCAGGCCCAAGGTGCCCCCAGGATTTCCAAGGAGGCCGCCAAGGCCACCAGTTTGGCATCGCTCGGACGTGTGCATTCTTCCTTCGGCGAGGACAATCGAGGAGCAGCCTTGATCATGTGGCGAAAAAAAAAACCACGCACGAAACCGACGAACACGAAAGGAATGGACACGTCCGAGCGATGGCGGGACCCTGGGAGGGGTCCGCCGGGGAGTAGCGGTGTCGGTACCGCTTGGTCTCCCCATTGACGGGTTCCCAGAAGGGCCCAAGAGGGGCACGACAGGTGCCTGTTCCCCCCCCCATTGGTCGGCCTACCTTCGCGAGGCCCAGAGGGCCCCGGGGGGCTCCAAGACGGAACGGAGATCCGGAGCACCCTGGGTCACGGGCGCCTTTCGCAACCGCTGGATCGCCGCCGTGACCTTCGGCCTCGGCGGGCGCGGAGGAGGAGGAGGAGGAGGAGGAGACAAGGAGGAAGAGGAGGAGGAGGAGACAAGGAGGAGGAGGAGGAGACAAGGAGGATGAGGAGGAGGAGGAGGAGACAACGAGACAAGGAGACAAGGAGACAAGGAGGAGGAGGAGGAGGAGGAGACAAGGAGGAGGAGGAGGAGGAGGAGGAGACAAGGAGACAAGGAGACAAGGAGGAGGAGGAGGAGGAGACAAGGAGGAGGTGGTGGAGGAGGAGGAGGAGACAAGGAGACAAGGAGGAGGAGGAGGAGGAGGAGGAGGAGGAGAAAACCTCCAGGTGGGCGCGGCCGCGGCGGGCGCAGGCGCGGCCTGCGTGCCTGGGGGCGCGCCACCGCCCAGGCTGCGCACCGCGCCGGCGCGTGGGCGAGGCACGGCGGCAGCCGCGGCGGCGACCGCGGTTTTCGACGGCGAGGAGGTTCCCTCCCTCCCTCCCTCCCTCCTCCCTCCCTCCCTTCCCTCCCACCCCTCCCTCCCTCCCTACTCCCTCCTACCTCCCTCCCTCCCTCCCTCCCTCCCCTCCCTGCCTCCCTCCACCCCTCCCTCCCTCCTTACCTCTCTGGCCGGCCAGCCGTGCGCGGCGGGCGATTCTCGCCTGCCCAGAGATCCAACGCGTTGAAACAAGCAAGACATGGTTTTTGCTGCCTTTTCGGCCTCGCCGGGGTTCGGGGCTGTCAAAAAACGGGTCAGGATGAAGAGCCGGCCCCAGGGAAGGGGTCGGGTCTTCTGGGGACCCCGTCTTGAAAACGTCACGACGCCCGATCTCTGGGTAGCCCAAGATGGTCTCCAGGATGGCGCAAGGTGGTCCAACTTGGGTCCATCTGGGGACCTCGTTTGGAAAAGAGCACGGTATCGGATCTCTGGGTGCTAGGCTTCGTCGCGTCGTGGCAAAGTCACGACGGGCCGTTTCTGGCCTGCTTTGGGCTCGGGGGGCCTCTGCTGGGCACCGGCGCAACGACTCGATCGGGAGTCGGTTCCAGCGAAGCGGGTCCAGACCTCCAGGGGTCAACGTTTGGAAAAAAACACGACGCAAAAGGCGGGTCGTGGTGAGAAGGAATGCTTCGATGGGCGCCTGGGGAGGGAACCTGGGGCGGGAGGGTGTATGGCAGCACTATTGATGCATCCTGGGCTTGCTCTGGACTTGGGTTCTCGTCCTCCTCCCCTGCTCCTCCCCCTGTTCCTCCCCCTCCCCTTCCCTCCCCCAGTCCCCTCTCTCCCTCCGTCTGGCGCCGTGTTCCCTGCCGCCTCGGGCCTCCGAGAAATTGTCCTCCTCCTCCTCCTCCTCCTCCACCTCCCCCTCCTCCCCCTCCTCCCCCGCCTCCTCCCCCGCCTTCTCCTCCTCCTCCTCCTCCTCCTCCCTCCTCCTCCTCCTCTCCTCCTCCTCCACCTCCTCCCCCCTCCTCCCCCGCCTCCTCCTCCTCCCTCCTCGTCCTCCTCCACCTCCTCCCCCTCCTCCCCCGCCTCTCCTCCTCCTCCTCCTCCTCCTCCTCCTCCTCCTCCTCCTCCTCCCCCGCCTCCTCCTCCTCCTCCTCCTCCTCCTCTTCTTCCTCATTCGTCGACGCAGCTGGGTCCGCCTGAAAGAACAGGCCAGGATGGACGTCTTGGCGGCGCCCACCATTAGACTGGCGCGAGGGGGGCGACCTTCTAAGAAGGCAGGGGGGGGGGTCTAAGGAGGTACAGAGGCGACCCAGGCCAAGAAACACCCTGCTTGCCTCCAGGGTGCCCTGGGTTGCCTGGGTTTCAATGGTTTTGCTGTGGAAGGCGTGACGCTCCCACACCAAAAGTCACTGGACGTCCTGGGGTCTCAGGGTTGGGTTTCTTGTGGAGTGGCCTTCACTGCATGCAGGGGGGCGTCGTAGAGGCCTGGCTTATCAAAAGCCTTCTTAAAAGCAGCAAGGCCTTTCAAGAGCCTGACAATGCCCTTTCCTTCTAAGAACACCCCGCCTTTTCAAAAACCCTCCCCCCTGCGCACCCCTTTCTTGTCGAAGAGAAAATAGCATGAACACGAACTGTTGACGGTCCGCGCAGATGCCTTGGAAATTGCGCTCAGGTTGCGGCCCCCCCTGGCGGCGCCTCCGTCGCCGCCCCTGGCGCGTTCCGCGCGCCAGGGAGGGGGATTCAGCGCAGATCCACGCAATCAGCGCAGAGTTTTGAACGTTTACGTCTGTGCGGCGCGTGCTTCTCAACTGTGGGTGCCGCCACACCTCGGGAGCTGTCCAGGGACGGACTCTGCTTGGAATCTGGGCCGGGCGGGAAGAGCTGCCGTCGTCGCAGCTGGCCATCCTCTGGGGGGGTCCGGCGGCCCAGGCGTCCGAGGTGGGGCTTTGTCCACGACCACCGCCTGCGAGGGATCGATCCTCGAGGTCTCGGAGGCCTCTTTGGGTCCTGGGGCACCCTTGGGAGCCTCGGGGGCCTCGTGCTTCGTGCGCTGCTCCAGGTAGTGTGCGAATCAACTGTTTGGTGGGCTGTCCGGTGGAGCTGGCGCCGTCGCCCTCGCGGCAGCGCGCCTCACTCTCCTTGTCCTTTTGTCTGTCGCAGCAAAGATTTTGGCATCTTGCTGCTTTGCATCTTGTGTATGTGTGTGGGGGGGGAGCCTCGGGGGCCATCCTGGGGCCGTCTTGGAGGAGATCGATCACAGGACAGGCCGTAGTAAGTTAGACCCCCCCCCGAGGAAACCACAGTGTAGCCCCGCGGCCCCGCGTCCAGGTCCGTGGGGAGGGACTTCGCCGAATGGGGGGGGCAAACCTCTCCCACTGACGACAAAAATGTCCCGCCCGTTCCCTCTCCTATGACCGTCCCAGATGCCTGCTGGAGGGCCCCCAGTCGTCTTTCTGATTTCCGGACGGTCTTAGGCTGGCGCCTCTGGGGACCATCTTGGGCCGTTTGGGGGCCATCTCGGGGCCGTCTCGGGGTCTTCTTGCGCCCGCATAGACCCTGCTGGGCCCCTCCTGGAGCCATCTTGAGGCCGCCGACGCCCATCGGAATTAAAAAGTTGGGGAGCCAGAAACTATCGTAACATGTTATAGTGTGCTTTGTTCAGAGTTTTTCGCCTCTCGGCTGCCTCCTTGGCGAGGTCGGTCTGTGGCAGCATCGGGCCGTCTTGTGGCCGTCTGGGCGCCTCTCGGACGCATGTTGGAGACCATCCAGGGCTAGCGTCGACCACCGCGCGCCATCCTGGAAGCCACCTCGGGCTACCCGGAGCTCCCTGGGAGCCATCTTGTCGGCTGCCCGAATGTGGTCCCGCAGGAGCCCAGACGCCCTCCCGCTGGGCCCAGGAGGGGCCCCACAGATGCCTCCGAATCGGTAGAGCGCTGACAAACACCACCCCTCTACGAAAGGCGGGACCCCTCCCGGGGCCAAACACTTTGAAAGACCATCGAGGCAGTCTGACCAGTATATCGGAACATTTCAATGGATTGCTATGGAAAAGGATATCGTCCGTCCCTATACGACGCGAAAATTTGAAATACGAAAAGAAACGATTCGTTAAGTAGTCTCCAGGCTGCGAAAACGCCACTTCGTCGAACGGTCACTGCGTAAAGAAAGTCAAACATTAGACAAAGGAGGACGTGTTACAGTATGGGGTAGGGGGAGACGTAAACCCCTCCCCGAAGGGGAAGAAGGGCGGTTGGACGAGGACACTCGCCAAACCACTCACGCCCTAACGGGCTGGTGGGATTCCGAGGAGGGCCCGTTGGGATAGCGGCGGCGATTCCGCATGGCCCACATCCGCTCAGAATCGGTCCCCGGACCCCTCCCGAGGCGGATCCAGCGCCGAGAGGCCCCCAGGAGGCCCAGACAAGTACGAATGGCTCCTGGGCAGGCCGCCATTGTCTGGACCAGCCTTCCTCCGAGGGGGTCAGCCCTTCTCATCCGCCTCCTCCTCCTCCTCCTCCTTCTCCTCCTCCATTCCTTTACCTTATGAATAATGTCTCGCACCCCAAGGCCAGTTTTTTAGAGCGGTCCGGGCGTTTTGCCTAATCTTCCTCACCACTTATGACTCTGAAGCTTAAGAAGTGGCAACAGTTTCACAGATGGAGGGCGGGCGGTTTTCAAAATGCGGCTCTCGCTTTAGCACCGCACGCATTCGATTCAAATAATTGCAAGAATTTTGCGGATTGAGGGCGGGTCGTAGTGCCGCGCACGTTCGTTGTAACCATTTGCAAGAGTTTCACGGTTTGAGGGCGGCTCCTTTTCAAAATGTGGCTCTCGCCAAAGCGCCGGGCACATTCCTTCGAAACATTTGCTAGAGCTTCACGGTTTGAGGGCAGTTCTTTTTCAAAATGTGGTTCTCGCCTTAGCGCCGCGTGCATTCGTTTCAAACATTAACCAGAGTTTTACGGATTGAGGGCGGGTCGTTTTCAAAATGCGTTTCTCCCCAAAGCGCCGCGCACATTCGCTTGAAACATGTGCAAGAGTGTCACGGTTTGAGGGCGGTTCCTTTTCAAAATGCGGTTCTCGCCTTAGCACCGCGCACATCCGTTTTAAAATATGTTAGAGCTTCACGTATACAGGGCGGGTCGTTTAAAAAATGTGGTTCTCGCCTTAGCACCGCGCACATTCGTTGCAAACAATTACAAGATTCTCACGGACTCCCATGATCAGCGTATCAGAAATGGCTTGTTGGAAAGATTCAGCACTACGCGGGCGCAACAGTTACATTGATTCGTGGTGTTGAAGGTCCCCCAAAATGGCGTTCTGGCACGATTGCGGATCGTCAAGACGCAGCAGTCAGGTTGATCCGCGGCGTTGACATCCCGAGAACAATGTTCTGGCATGCTTCAGGACCTTCAAACGGTTGTCTTCCAACGAGGCAGTTCCCTCAATGGAGTAGGGGCCTGTGAGGAGGGAGTTTGGAGGGAGGGTTGATTCCAACATCGCCGATGACTCTGGCTCGTCCTCCCCGTGTCAAGACACCGCGTGGACCGCTTCGGCGTGAGGATCGGCGACTCCTCCGATCGCCCGCATCGCGCGACGTCCTGCCGATCTTGGGCTACAGTCGGGGCCCTGAAGAAGGAACCCTTTTCGTTGGGGAGGGTCTCCGCGTTCCTGAAGTGTTTCGCAGCTTGCCTCAGGTTGTCCTCAGGTTTTCGAGGGGAACTCGAACTTTAGCTGATGGGAAAAAGGGGCCTCGTTCCTTCTTTAGGGTTCCTTAGGTCAACGCCCCGACTGTGCAGGCGGCGCCCAGCCCAGACCGCCCGCGCCGAGGGGCCGCCGCGGCGTCGACGCGGCACGACCCCAGATGTCTCCGCCGAGGCGTGGGCCTGCTCTCCCCGCTCGCGGCGTCCGGAGGCCCGACGCCTGCTGTTCGGGCCGGACGACAGGGGGGGATGGGGAAAGGGGGGGTTATCGGGGGTGGACAGAACCCCCAACAGTGACACGTCGATTAGTGAATTGTCCGTTTTCGGTTCTCGAGAG